GGCAATTGTCAGAGAAGTGATCGGCACTGATAATCAGGGCACTGATGTTCAGTGCCCTGATGATCAGTGCCCAGCAGTGCGGCCCACCTGTGCCCATCAGTGTCACCTACCAGTACCCATCAGTGCCACACACCTGTGCCCAAGTAGTGCCACCCACCTGTGCCGATCAGTGTCACCCACCTGTGCCCTGCAGTGCCACCCACCTGTGCCACCCACCTGTGCCCATCAGTGCCACCCATCAGTACTGCCCAGCAGTGCCGCCCATCAGTGCAGCATCACCAGTGCCACCTATAAGTGCCTTTTATCAGTGCCTTGTATCAGTGCTGCCTATCCGTGCCACCTCATTGGTGCCCATCAGTGCAGCCTATCAGTGGTGCCTATTAGCGCAGCCTCATCAACGCACATCAGTGAAGGAGAAAAATTACCTGTTTGCAAAATTTTATAATAGAAACAAAGAAAACCTTTTTATTTTTCAAATTTTTTGCTCTTTTTTTGTCTATAGCACAAAAAATAAAACACCCAGCGGTGATTAAATACCACCAAAAGAAAGCTCTATGCATATGAAAAAAAAAGTATAAAAATGTCATATAAGTACAAGGTCGCATGACCGCGCAAATGTCATTCAAAGTGCGATAGCGCTGAAAGCTGAAAAATTGGCCTGGGCAGGAAGGGGGTATAAGTGCCCAGTAGGCGAGTGGTTAAAAACACATATGCAGAAACATAGAAATTGTGGTTTGAACTGACCCTAAGGCTAGCTCACCACATGGTAAAATGCAGCGTTTTACTATGTGAGCAGCTGTCAGCTTCACCTCTGGCAGGGAGTAATGCGATGTGCATTTTAGTGCATCATACTGCTTAACCTGGCCATACACTAGCACATTTTCAAACAAATGTTCATACAAACATTTTCCAAAACAAAAATTTAATTTACTGTTATAAACTTGTTTATTTGAGAAAACGTTCCCTCTGAAATCTCTTGCTACTGCAGTTGAAAACAAATGTAGATTTGACCCCACTTACTATTAGAAAATCGAAGGAACACCCTTAAAACCAACATTTTCACATGCAATCCTACTAGTGTATGGCCAGCTTTACTTTCTTTGTGTTATTGTGTGTGGACATGCAGTGTTCTCCAATGTACTGAGGGAAATGCAGACATGCTGCATATTTCCACACTGCACCACAGAGACCTTGTTGTGAAGTAATCAGGGCACATGGAAAACAATTGTTTTCTATGTGCCCTAAGGGTGACCTGCGTTTATCCAGTGCAAAAAAAATTTGAATCCTTTTGCACAGTGTGCATGAGTCCCTACCCTCTTGAACTGAGTTGTACCTATACTGTCTTATGGTGGCCATACACACTTCAACTTTTTTTCTGGGACTTGAATTTGCAAAAAATTAAATAACCATAACTTCCATTCCAATTCATTTAGACTTAAAGTGTTACTAAACCCACAACAGTAAAATCAGTCTGTATATGCAGTAAAGCATGCTTGATATACTCACTGTGGAACCTAAGGGGTTAATCCTCTGCAATGTGTGAAAAGGCTGTTTGATCCTCTCCTTCTTCCAGTGTCGCCCTCTTATCTCCTGGTAAGACATATTGTGTGGAGACACTATGCACATGCTCAGTTTGGTGTGTATTGCTAGAGAGGTTTGTTTTTCCTCGGAAGAGTACATGTGATCAGCACAGGGCCAATTAGCACTGTACAGACATAGGTGAGGGGTGTTGCATCCTCCTAGAGCAGAAAGAAAACTCCTCCTACAAGCTTTTACCAGTGCTCTGCTGAACACTGATAGAAGTCACAAGACTGCTCTGCTGGTGAGAAAACGTATTTAGCAGTTTATATTTACTAAAATAATTGCATTTCCATGTAGTGTGTACTGTGGGAGACCAGATATACAGTTGCAAGAAAAAGTATGTGAACCCCTTGGGATTACGTGGAGTTTTGCATGAATTGGGCATAAAATGTGCTCTGAACGTCATCTAAGTCACAACAATAGAAGAACACAGTCTGCTGAACATAATACTACACAAACATTAGATGTTGCCATGGTTTAATTGCACATAACATGTAAACATTCACAGTGCAGGGAGGAAAAAGTATGTGAACCTTTGGACTTAATAACTGGTTGACCCTCCTTTGGCAGCAATAACCTCAACCAAACGTTTCCTGTAGTTGCAGATCAGACCTGCACAATGATCTGGAGTCATTTTGGACCACTCCTCTTCACAAAACTGTTTCAGTGTAGCAATATTCTTGGGATGTCTGGTGTGAATCGCTCTCTTAAGGTCATGCCACAGCATTTCAATGGGGTTGAGGTCAGGACTGGGCTACTCCAGAAGGCGTATTCTGTGCTGTTGCAGCCATTGCTTTGTTGAATGACTTGTATGCTTTGGGTCATTGTCCTGTTGCATCACCCATCCTCTACGTAGCTTCAGTTGGCGGACAGATGGTCGTACGTTTTCCTGCAAAATGTCTTGATAAACTCTGGAATTCATTTTCCCATCAATGACAACAATCCGTCCAGGCCCTGAGGCAGCAAAGCAGCCCCAAACCATGATGCTCCCTCCGCCATGTTTCACAGTGGGGATGAGGTTTTGATGTTGGTGTGCTGTGCCTTTTTTTCTCCACACATAGTGTTGTGTGTTCTTCCCAAACAACTCAATCTTGGTTTCATATGTCCACAGTATATTTTGCCAGTAGTGCTGTGGAACATCCAGGTGCTCTTTTGCAAACTTCAAACGTGCTGCAATCTTCTTTTTGGACAGCAATGGCTTCCTCCGTGGTGTCCTCCCATGTACTCCATTCTTGTTTAATGTTTTCCTTATTGTAGATGTGTCAACAAAAATGTTAGCATGTGCCAGAGATTTCTGTAGGTCTTTAGCTGACACTCTGGGATTCTTCTTTACCTCATACAGCATTCTGCGCTGTGCTCTTGCAGTCATTTTTACAGGACGACCGCGCCTAGGGAGAGTAGCAACAGTGCTAAACTTTCTCCATTTGTAGACAGTCTGTCTTACCGTGGACACATGAACATCAAGGCTTTTGGAGATACTTTTGTAACCCTTTCCAGCTTCATGCAAGTCAACAATTCTTGATGGTAGGTCTTCTGAGAGCTCTTTTCTGCGAGGCATGGTTCACATCAGACAGTGCTTCTTCAAACCAGTAAACCCAAAACAGGTGTGTGTTTTTTAAGGGCAGGACAGCTGTCAGCAACACATCCAATATCATCACACTGATTGGAGTCAAGGTTGGCTCACTCCTGGCTCCAATTAGCTCTGGGAGAAGTCATTAAACTAGGGCCTCACATACTTTTTCCTCCCTGCACTGTGAATGTTTACATGTTATGTGCAATTAAACCATGGCAACATCTAATGTTTGTGTAGTATTATGTTCAGCAGACTGTGTTCTTCTATTGTTGTGACTTAGATGACGTTCAGAGCACATTTTATGCCCAATTCATGCAAAACTCCACGTAATCCCAAGGGGTTCACATACTTTTTCTTGCAACTGTAGTGAATACAGGATCCTGGGTTTAGTAACAGTTTAATTTCATTCTGATTTGATCAAACTGAGTCGATTGGCCAAGGCGGAAAACGATCGATCACTTTGCAGCGATAAGCAGCACTGAGATACTTTGTTCATGATGATGATTGTATTTTGATCAGTCAGATTATAAACTCAAATGGTGTAAAAAGAGGTGACATGTGATCATAAGTTCTGATTGCATCTTAACTATCGATTGACATTCACTTCCCTGTGTGTGGCATATCAGTTGAAAAGGTTGTCAACAATGGATGGATTATTTCTATTGGGAGAGATTGACCTGTTATCAAAGTGTGCATGTCCACCATTTGAAGCATAAAGTTTGCTTATACTTCTCAGATTATTTCTCCTGCAAGGCAAGTGTGGCTAGCGTTTTGTTGTTTATTAAATGTCTATGTGTAATTTCTATTCTGAATATAACCTGTACAGTATATTTACTTACACCATATATATTCCAGACAATGAGGAATAAGATGAAAATGTTTGAGTGTGTAGCACTACCCCCTTAGGATTCGCTAGAGATTTGGGTCTCCCTATAGTCCTGCGCAGCCAGGCAATACGCATTTCCTTCCAGCCTTGCACTCCAGAGACAGTAAACAATTCTTGAACTTGGCTGTTTGGATTTTATTAGGGGATTTTAACTTGGATAGGGATGAGGGACACATGGGATGCTCAAGGAACTGTTTTAACTGTGGACAACTTCATGAAGCTATTTACAAGTGCTCAGAGGGGTTCTCTTCTCTTCTTGGAGAGCTATCCAGCCTCTCTGGGTGCAATTATTCCTGGACAAGGGAATCCAGAATCTGACTCTTGAAAAGCACAGTCCAGTTGGGGCTAGTCGGCTTTCCACCAAAATGCCCTCTCCACTATTCCCTTCCAGAGGGTGTAGATGTAGTCACTGTCCCTCCTCTGTAAGCTGCAGGTCAGTATTCAGAGAACTAAGTGTAATTTCTGTCTGCTGCCTCATTCCTCTGCTATCAGCATGAGTCACGTCTGGAGAGTTTTCCTGACACCAAGAGAAAAATGGTGACAGGGGAGGGACCTCCAGTAGATTGACAGCCACAACTCTGTTCCTGTGAGCTGTGTGAAGAGGGGTGTCCCTTCCCTCCAATCAGCTCTCAGAGATCTCCTCACTGATGTAAGTTCAGCTCCCTGCCCCTAGCTTTTCACAGCTGAGAGTTCCTGTGTAAATTCTGCACTTTGAATGGATGTAGAGGAGAGAGGGCTATAGATATACAGGTACAACTTACATAGAAGTCACTTTACCAGGTATATGTAAGGGTTTACAACCACTTTGAATGATAATTTCACCTTTTGTAACATGTTACAGTGGTTATAAAAAGTGTACACATCCCTGTTAAAATGTCAGGTTACTGTGATGTAAAAAATGAGACAAAGATAAATCATTTCAGAACTTCTTCCACCGTTAATGTGACCTGTAAACTATACAACTTAACCTCCCTGGCGGTATTCCCGAGTGTAGCTCGGGGTAAGGTTTCAGTACCACAAGCGGTAACCCCGAGCTACACTCGGGAATACCATGCGGCGCTGCTCCACGATCCCTCGATCACTTACCTTGTCCTGCGCTCCCACGATGTCCCTCCTGCGGTGTCCCCGACAATGTAATCCGGCGGATGCCGGCATCTGTCATCTGGGTTCCGTCCCGTGAGCGTCGGGACGTACGGGGGACGGAACGGCGGGAAATTCAAAAATGACAAAAAGTGACATTCACTAAAATCACTAAAATCACATAGTAAAACATTACTGTATCAAACCATTTCACATACATTTTGTCCCTAGTGCTTTGTCCGGCGCCCTGCCTGCATTTTTACTGTTCTTATTGCCTGGAAACTGAGAAATGTCCATGGCGTCCAAAAAGCGTCCATTTAGGTCAAAAGTGGTTTTAGACCAGCTAGAGAACAGCGATAGTAAATTAGAACCACTTGCAGAATTGAGTGATAATGATTCGTGGGGAAATTCATCATCAGACACTGAAAACAATTTTTGCGACTTTGCTCAGCGATGTGTGAACTTGGCGCTCTATTTCAAATTTAAGTGTTTTTGGTTTGATTATATTATTAAATTAAATTTATTATTTTTATGATTATTTATTAAATTATAATTTATGATTTAGTGTTTCAAATTTTAACATACCCGGGATGTTTACTAGACTCTTGTTCGGACAGATTTCAGTGAGTTATTCCTAAAAATTACAGGCCTACAATAAAAAAAACATATTTCCATGCAAAAAAAATGGTACCGCTTTCAGCACCAAAAATCTGAAATAATCATAGCGCCAGGGAGGTTAATTGAAAAAGAAACTGAAATATTTTTTTGGGGGGGTGGGGGAATTTATGCTCAGAGGGGATATTGCCTCCTCTAATGCAGGCCATACATGGGTCGATTTTTTCTTTCAAAAATCATAAATAAGAATTTTCATTTGAATTTCACACGGTTAGTGAGTGGGGGCCACAGTATTGGCTGATTTTCGTGTGGCCATTGAATTTGAGGGATCGAGCATGTTGTAAAACGAACAAATTTCTAATCATTAGTGGGAATTGTGAAAGAAATATATTTGAAATGAACATGAGCTGTGACCCGGAAAGAAAAGATGATTCCCAGCCACGAAAATTCTCTTCTGTAGCAACATGAGGGAAGTTGGAGACTTGGTTGGTTGAATTTCAAAATCAATGGTGGCACCATTGGATTACAAAACGCATGGAATTTCCGATTTTCTAAAGAAAACATGTTCAGAATTTGACCCATGTATAGCCTGCCTAATGTGGGGTGTTACTGGACAGATGAAAACTTAGGAAAAAAAATGCAGCCACCACATCTAACGATTGGAAAGCTGCACTATATTACATTTTTGGCTTTAACCGTTTCCCGACTGCCCTATAGCAAACAACTGCTACAGGGAGGCAAGGCTGTGCAAAATCACATATATATACACACGCAATTTTATATTTCTGCATAGGGGGCAAACGCACGCACGTGCTGCCCTACCCGCGCCGCCATTGGTGGCTACAGCTCTTGATCACCCGGGTCCCGGCCGGAGATTTCCCGCCGGCACCTGGCGATCGCCGAAAAACACTGACGGGAGAGCTCTGTATGTAAACAAACTATTGAACTAAGTCCTAATTGTAAATCATTATCTTTGGCAAATAATACAATACAGATCTCTCCCCTCAGCACCAGCATGCTGCTTTGTATTGCTCTGCACAGCTGAGCAATACAAAGCAGAATGATTACACAGTAAAAACACACACAGCGCAGTTTGTAAAAGAGCAAAAATCACACAGTGAACCCTTTGATTGCCCCAGATGTTAACCCCTTCCTGCCCAGTGTCATTAGTACAGTGTCAGTGCTTTTTATTAGCAGTGATCACTGTATTACAGCACAGTGGCTATGTGGTTAGCACTTCTGCCTGGCAGCACTAGGGTTGTTGGTTCAAATCCCAACCATGGCACCACCTGCCTGGAGTTTGCATGTTCTCCCTGTGTCTCCATGGGTTTCCTCTGGGTACTCTGGTTTCCTCTCACACTCCAAAGACATGCTGCTAGGTTAATTGGCTCCTTTCTAAATTGGCCCTTGTATATGAATGTAAGTTAGGGACCTTAGATTATACAACCCTTGAGGGTTAGGGACTGATGTGAATGTACAATATATGTGTAAAGCGCTGCGTAAATTGATGGCGCTATACAAGTACCTGTAGTATTAGTGTCACTGGGGGTGGCAGTTAGTCAGTTCCCCCCCCCCAGTGTCAGAATGCCCACCAAAGTCCCTCTATAAGTCGCTGATCGCCGCCGTTACTAGTATAAAAAAATCCCAGTATATATATACCGCCATTTGTAGACGCTATAACTTTAATGTAAACCAAGTAATGTACACGTATTGGGATTTTTGTTAGCAAAGACATGTCGCAGAATACAATTTGGCCTAAATTTATGAGGAAATTTGATTTTTTTAATTGTTTAATAGCCAAAATGTTTTTTTTTTCAAAATTGTTTTTTTTTTTGTTTATAGTGCAAAAAATAAAAAAAAAACGCACAGGCGATCAAATACCATCAAAATAAACCTCTATTCATGGGGGGGAAAAAAAAGGACGTAAATTTCATTTTGGGTGCAGCGTTGCATGACCGACGCGCAATTGTCAGTTAAAGTAACGCAGTGCAAAAAATGGCCTGGTCAGGAAAGGGGGCAAGCAGTTAATAGCTTGTTGCCAATAGCAACCAGAGTGTGTGCTCCCCTCCCCCCCCCCCCCCCCATACACGGTGTGATTGATGAGCCGACTGATTTGACTATATAAGGGAGCCTATCAGGGGGGTAGTGTCCCTCCTTGTAGAAGGGAACCATTCCCCCCCAAGAACAATGGACACTTCGGGAGCCTGCAGCCCTCCACCCCTGGACTCTTCTATTCCATGGCTCCGCCGAGGTGCCTCCAGCAGCCGACTCCCCGGTATGAGGAGTTCTTGTATGAGGACACAGCCCGGACCGCTCGTCTTTGTCATGGATCCCCCCCACCCTCCACCCCCGATGTGAGCTCCCCGCCCCTCCCATTCCTCCGCACGGCCAGGCTGTAACCCGATCCTGACTGGAAGGCTGGACTGCTCTCTCTCTCTCCCTCTCTCGGTGTTTTTTCTGCTTCCTGTCTGGTATTGTGCTGGAGAGCGGATGTGTGCATCGCCCACAGGTGTGCCTGGCTCTGCTCATTCATCGCACCGGAGCAGCGGGGGCGGGAGACTCCGGTATGGGAGCTGAGGGCTGAGCGCTGAACCGGGGACACCGACTGGGGACACTGACGGCAACTTGGGTGAGTGGCACCTGTTGGAGAGGAGAAGGCTCCGGGCTCCGTCCTTCCTAAGTCAGCCCCGGCCGCCTGGGAGCTCTGCTGGACTTTGACATCAACTTAGTGAGAGGTGTGGGGGGAGGGGGCGCTGTCTGCATGGAGGCTGTGGGAGCTGTCTGCATGGAGGCTGTGGGGATCATCACTTCTCCTTCCTGTGGCTTCACCGATCACCTCATACCTGCTACTAGTCTGTGAGATCGTCTCATGCTTCCTCCAATCCACTGCATGACATTGTATGGGGCTGACAGTCGGGGCTTCGCTCTTCTGTTCGTTAATATGATGTGCTCCTTTTATTGTGTTCATAATGCTGCAGCAGCCGGGCGTGTTAACCAATCGTTTCCTAGCTTTGGTTTCTTCAGCTAAGCTTTGAAAATGAACACTAGAAGCTGATTGGTTATTGTGGACAGCTGCTTCGGATTCCACCTGGAACAGCTGGGTTTTCTTTGTGCCTTAGCTTCTTGTTTTGTTTCTACATTTTGTGTTTTTTTAGGCTACACTGATAAACGCTGCCCTCCATTTTTATCCCCCCCCCCCCGTTTTTATTACGTGTGTGTGGGGTTCCCCCCCCCCAAAAAAAAAAAACACCCCCTTCCTGTAATCAGTCAATTGCCCCTTTCTCTCCCCCCAATACCTGAATCTGGCATACGTGTATATGTCCTCAGACACAGGATTTGGTGTTCCTGGGCTACATTGACAAACCCTTTCTGAACTTAGCATGAATGGTGTGTTCTCTTTTTTTTTTTTTTTTTTTTTTTTTTTTTTTTTTTTTTTTTTTGCACAAAACTTAATGTGTAATAATTAGTAGCTAATGGCATAAAATTGCCCCCCCCCCCTCATTACCTGCATCTGGCATGTACATCCTGAAACAGGTTTTTGTTCTTTTATTTTTTTGCTACATTGACAAACCTTTTTCTGAACTTATTATGCGTGGTGTGTTTGTTTTTGTTTACACTCAAACTTCCTGTGTATTGATCAGTAAATAATTGCATTAAGTTGTCTCTTTTCTTCCAACACCCCCATACCTGTACCTGGCATACATGGATACCTGACCTCAGACACAGGATTTTGTTTAGGCTTCATTGACAAACATTTCTCTGAACTTATTACATCTCTTTTTTTTTTTTTTTTTTTTTTTTTTTTTTTTTTTCTACCACAAAAATCCTGCATAGAGATCAGTAAAATTGCCCCCCCCCCCCCCCCAATACCTGCATCTGGCATACATGGATGTTATGTCTTTAGAAGCAGGATTTAGCCCTGGTTCACACTGAATATGACTGAAATTGGACGACTTGAGTCACACTGATTTGAATGGCTCTGTTGCCAACAGTAGGTTGCAACTTGTCATGCGATGTGAAATGTCTGTGAATGGGGGGCTAAGTGATTTTATGTTTTTTGTTTTTAGGCTACATTCACCAACAATTTACTGAACTTCGTGCATTTTTTTTTCCTTCTTACAATACCTGCACCTACATACATGTGTACATCCGTCCTCTGAGCAGGTTTTTAGATTTTCTGTTTTTATATTTTGTGTTTTTTAGGCTAGATCCACAAACCTTGTTACTGAACTTTCTTTATGCATGGGTTTTTTTTTTTCTAGCACAAAAGTTTCTGCGGAATGAAAAGTAAATAATTGCGTAACATTGTTCTGTTAAACACCCCCCCCCCATCAGTTCCACCAGAAAAAAGAACAAGCTACATTTTTCTGCACTGCAGTGTACTGGGAATGTGGAAAAACACACCAGAACGCATGTCCCTAATTAAAGTAAAGGCTGTAGGTTTCTTACTTTCATGCATTCTATGCAAGAAGGTAAAAAACCTTGTGTGTGCAGTAGCTCCCCCAGCCCCCTCAAAACTTACCTGTGCCTCATTGCGATCCAGCGAATGACAGTCTTGGCTGTTACGGGTCTCTGTCTCCTCATTGGCTGAGACAGGAAGTGGGA